CCCTCCCCCCACCCACCACCTCCCCCCGCAGGGTGACCGAAGTGCATGAGGGCGAGGTGGAGGTGGAGCACAAGGACGGCGCCAAGGAGCGCGTCCCCTTTGGCACCTGCATCTGGGCCACAGGCATCGCCATGCACCCGCTGGTGGCCGCTCTCAAGGCCAAGCTGCCGCCCGAGCTGCAGGACTCGCGCAGGTGAGGGGCAGGCGCCGCCACCGCCGCCGGCTGCTGCTGCGCTGGCCTGCACCGGCGGCTGGCTGGCTGGAGCCGGGAACCGCGAGGTGTGCTGTGTACACCTCCTTCTGTACCATCCACCCGTGCCACTCTCGCACCGCGCATATCGCACCTCCATACCGTACCGCCTGGTACCCGCAGGGGCCTGGTGGTGGACAGCCACCTGCGCGTGCTGGGCACCCAGGGCACCATCTTCTGCCTGGGGGACGCCGCCGTCACGGCGGCCAGCCCCCAGGCCGCGCTGCCGCCCACCGCCCAGGTGGCGCGCCAGGAGGGCGAGTATCTGGCCCGCCTGCTGTCGGGCGCCAAGCTCGGGCTGGTGCCCGAGGCGGAGGCGGAGGCGGCCGGCGGCGGCGGCGAGCTGGTGCCGCTGCCAGAGGCGGCCAAGCCCTTCCGGTGAGCGCCTTCCCTGTCGCCGCCTTCCCTGCTGCACGCCGTGCTGCATGCCAGGCTTAAAACGCGAGCCTGCTCCAAGCAGGCAAGGTGCATGGCCCTTTTGCGGCGGGCGCCCGGCAACCGCCTACATTCCTGCTGCCTCTGCTGCCCTTGGCTTCACCCCTTCGAAGTCGCCTCCACCTCGCCTCCCTCCCGCCGCTCCCGCCCCCTCCCTGCAGCTACATGCACCTGGGATCGCTGGCCTACCTGTGGGGGCAGAAGGGAGTGATGGACCTGCCGGTGAGCCGCACAGGCGGCGCCTGCTAGCTGGGGCGGGGCGGGGCTGTTGTTGCCTCGGCCTGGTTGCATGCGTGGCTGCCCGTCTCGGCCTCGCCCTGGCCTGGAGCCTCCCGGCTGCGTGATACAAGCCCCGGCCCCGGCCCCGGCCAGCATCGAGTGCCTCCTGGTGCTGCCTCCCCGGCCGCCCCCGCCCCACCTTCCCCGCCCACCCTTCCCCGCTCCCCCTGCGCCCTGCCCCCCGCCCCGCAGTTCAAGCTGCCCTTCCTCAAGACCCTGCGTGGCTACCTGGGCGGCCACACCTGGCGCGGCCTGGAGACGTGGATGCAGGTGCTGCCGCTCCGCCATGCTGCCCTGCCGCACCCCGCGCAGCCAGCGCCGCACCCTGCGGGGTCCGCCTCGTGCTCCTGCCCCTGCGCCGCGACGCGCGCAGCCGGCTGCGCGGCGGTTTTATGCGCCGCAGGCCCCACAGATGCGTGCGTGTCGACATGCGAATGTGTGTGCCGCTGCCTGGGGCGCCCCTGCAGGTGTCCAACCGCACCCGCTGGCTGGTTGCGCACGACTGGTTCCGCACCGCCGTGTTTGGGCGCAACACCAGCGACGTCTAGGGCACCCACGCACGACCGTGCGGAGATGCGCCTGCTGGCAGCAGGCGCGGGTGCATGCGCGAGCGAGGCGGCCGGGCTGGCACGGCAGCACAGGCTGGGCTGTTGACTGTCCCAAGGCCTGCATGCTGGCCGCCCCAGTTGCCGGCCTTGCTCTTGTCCCATTCATTCCACGCGTGCCTGTTTCAACCCGTATAGACATCCATACATGCCTGTCTGTTTTGGCCCCACTGCCCATTCCCTACCTGGTTGACCCATCAGCGCATCGACAAACACCCCACCCCCACCCCTGCTATGGCCCCTGCTTAGGCCCCGTACTGCCTGTACCAAACGAATGTTGTACTCCAGCCCCCTGCTTTCCTCCCATTCTCCCTCTCTGCAGCGCGTGGCTCGACGCCAGTGTGAGCCGCCGCGTGTGCTTGAACTGTGATTCATTGATCCACGCCCGGGGCACCATTGCTTGCAACGCCCACCGATGCATATGCCGCCGACGAATGGCCACCTGCCATTATGTGTCTAGCGCACGTTGATTCTTCATCCCTCTTCCCCCCGACCCGGTGTCCCGAATTCATGATATTGCGTCGTCAGACGATCATCCCTTTCTTGCGCCTTGCCTGTCCTACATGTTGCACCCAGCTGCCACAACAACAACAGTAGCCCACTTAGTGCATGCCTCCCCTTGCTCCTTCCTGTAATGAGAAGATACCTGTGGGTGGAGGAGGGAAAGCAACTGAATGCGCAGGCTGTCGCTGCTGCGTGCCGCTCCCGCCGTCCTCGCCCAGGCAGATTGCTCCCCATCACCATCCCCGGTGCAGAGGCCGCGCATCGCGGGCAGCACGCTGTGTGGGAGCCAGCTGGCCAACCATTCCTCTTGGCAGACCGCAGGCGGGCAGTGAGCACGGCAGTGCCCCGTGCGTGGCTGGCGGGCTGGCGACCGGCAGAGGCAGTGCAGGCAAGGGCTTCTGGCGCACCTCGGCCACCAGGCGGCGCCAGCAGGCGAGATTTCTCGGATAAAGGTGCATATCAATTCGTTAGCACGAGAGGGGGACCTCTCGGGGCGGCTTTACAGGGAGGGCGGACAGGGGAAACCAGGGGCAAACAGCAACTAGGTAGCGCTGCTCTCCTGCTCAGAGGAACAAAGGAGAAGGACGAACTGAAATCGACGATTTGCCGGCAGACTCGCGTCACGCTGCTTGCATGCTGCGTCACGCTGCGCAGCGTCGGCGCGCATGAGGCGGCGGGTGGGTTGTTGGCAATGCATGGTGACCTCCTCTCTCCCTGCTCTCCGCCTTTCAGCCCTTGCTTACGGGCTGCTGCAAAGCCGCTTCAGGATGGTGCATGCGCCAGTGGGGCTGGGCAGAGGGCTGGGCCCGCGCTCGGCGTTGTGCTCCATCAGAGCACGCGTGCACGAGGTCCAGCATGAGATCCAGATGCTGGCCGCGGCTGCAGGGGCAGCCCTGCTGCTGGCGCTGGGCATCAAGGCTGCGCGGCAGCGCCTGCGCGGCGCGGCGCCCAATCCGCCCCCTGAGGCGGCAGCGCAAGGCGCCGAGGCTCTGCAGGTACGGGTGCCGCCCTGAATGCACATGTACTCCCCTGGTGCTGCCCAACACACACGCATCCCGACTGTGGATGGGTGCAGGACCTCAAGCGGCTGCGGTTCCAGCTCACCCTGAACGAGATGCAGAGGAACACCGCTCCCGGACGGCGCGCCCCAGTGGGTCGGCTGGGCGGGCTGCGGCCGCCTGTCGCTGCGCTGTGCTGCTGCCGTGCTGCTGTGCACGCTGTCGCTGACCAGCGCGGGCCTGCTCGAGCCCCTTGCAGCTGGTGGCCGCCTGCTGGCGCCTGCCCAGCCTGGGGTCTGATGAGGAAAGAAAGAAGCTGCTGGCGGGGGCGAAGGCCCCAGACCTGGAGAAGTGCCCCACCTGGCAGGTCATCCGCTTCCTCAACCAGGCCGGTAGGTGCCCCCTGGCCTTCCGGCTCCCCGGCAGCGCCTGCTGAGCAGACGGCGCTTCCTTCATGCACCCGCCAGTGACCCGTGGCTGATGGAACATGTCCACAGGCCGCACGCCTGCCTCCAAGAGCGTATCGAACGCGGCATGCCCCCCCTCCTCGCTCCCCGCAGGCGCCATCCTGCCGCCCCAGCTGCTGCCGCACTACCTGGCGGGCGGGCAGCAGGGCCAGCAGGAGCTGCGGGACGACGCCGCCACCTTCATGCGCACCTGGCTGCGCAAGCGCGTGCTGCAGTGCATCAGCTACGTCAACAACCCAGACCGGCGCATGTGAGAGGCCGGCCCTGTTGCCAGGCAGCGTGCCAGCTGTAGGCGGCTGCCTACTTGATGGTACAGCCCCAGCCCTTGCCTTGCGGAGCCGCCCAGCATGCGCCGCCGGCCGCCGCCATGCCCGTCCCCCTCCCAGCGAGCGCACGCGCCCCTGGCTCTCCTCCCCCGCCGCGCCGCAGGCGGGCGGTGCTGGGGCTGCAGATGGTGGCAGGCACCCCGCAGCGGGTGCGGGACACCATCGCGCGCTGCGACCAGCAGCTGCGGGACGACCTGTTCGGTCCCGGCCTGCAGGCGGATGTCGGCCATGCCGAGGACCTGCTGCCGCACGAGAGGTAGGTGGGCAGCGCTGCGGGCCCTACCCGCACCCAGCCGCATGCATGCACCCCGCTTGCCCTGCGGCGCCTTTGTCGCACGTGTCTGCCTTTGCCAGGCGTGTCTGCCTCCTGTCTGCTGCTGCAGGCAGATGGTTGAGTCGGGAGCGCTGGGGCACGCCTTGGATGAACTCATGGGCGGGGCGAGCCTGTGAGTGCCCTGGATGAGACCATAGACAGGGCGGGCCTGTGAGCTGTTGGCCAGCGGCCTCGATGGCCGCGCTGCATCATGCCTCTGCTGCCCAGCCCCAGCCGCCACACGCAGCAGCAGCATGCGCTGAACTGTATGGCTGGGCTACCTGCTGTGCAGGCTGGTGGAGGGGGTGCAGCGCCTCAGGGTGCGGAGCATCAACCGCCAGCTGGATGTCATGGACGGCAGGCGCATGCGGTCCCTGGTCATCGGTTGAGCAAGACGGGGAGAGGCTGTGTGTGGCGACAAGCAACATGCAAACAAACTTTGGCGGAGCAACAACAATGTACTGAGCTGGCAACGAGCCTTGGGGAGCAGAGTACAACATCAAACACAGTAAATTGATAGTAACAGGCTGCAATGAGACCAGCACATAGTGTCCCCTGATGGGCTGAGGCCGGCCGGCCTTTTGCCGCCCAGTCGGCGCATGGTCGCGGCGGTGGCGGGCTCAGCCCAAGCGACGCCGGCCACAATTCGCTTCCAGCACTCCCACAACGACCTCTCGGCACTGTCTGAGCGCGTTGCGGACGGCGATCGGCGGTGATCAAGCCGCTTCTCTGAGGCAAACCCTTCGTACAGGAGGCAATGCTGGAAGGACCCTGCGAGGGGCTGGCCTGATCACACCGACAGTTTGAGCAGTGTCCACGTGATTCAGGGGCCACTTCGCCTGACTTGCTGACCTGGATGGGGCCGCGCATGGCTCGATGGGCGCCAGGGCAAGCCCAGCGGGTTTGTAGAAACGCGCGATCTCCCCGTGACGCAGTGCTGAGCGCTGCACGCACTCAGCTGTCGAAGGCAAGGCCCTATGGAACGCTGCGGCCGCTCTCAGGGCACCCTCACTCCCTCATAGCATGCCCGGTGCGCTCTCGACGGTTCTAAGTTCGACTCATCACAGCTCGGCACAGGGACGACTCGGAGCGGGGGGACCAGCGGGGGGCGACAGCGGCGGCCAGGGCTTCGGCCCTCGGCTAGCGGGCGTTCCAAGGCGGCGGCAAGGCGCAGGCAGCGCGCTCCTGAGAGGAGCAGCTTCAGCGGCGGCGAGGCGGCGGCGGCACCCAGGCGTGGCACATCAGCTGCTACTGGTGGCGCAGAACCAGCAGGAGCAGCAGCCCACGCTGGTGGTGCAGGCGGGTGACAGCGGCGGAGGGGACGACACGCAGCAGGGCGCGGTGGCAGCCCAGAACACGATGCAGGGCCAGCAGCAGCCCTTCAAGCCCCAGGGCCTCCCCAGCAGCCGCAGCGACACCATGCTGCTGCAGTCGGCGGCAGAGGGCAGCCGCTTGGGCCTGATGGGCGGCGGCGGAGGCGGCGGCGCCAACAGCCTGGCGCGCGGCGGCGGCGGCGGCGGCGCCGCGGCGGGCGCGACGGCGGCGGCGGCCGGCCCCGGCCAGCAGGCCCCCGCCGGCCTGCAGGGCAGCGCCAGCTGCGTGCCTGTGTACGTGATGCTGCCCCTAGACACCGTGAACGCGGAGGGCGTGTTCCGCTACGCGTCATCCAAGTGGTTTTCGGCGGCGCTGCAGCGCCTGGCGGCCACGGGCATCCGCGGCGTGGCGGTGGATGTGTGGGTGAGCTAGGCGGCCGCCGGACCTGCGTGGGGTGGGGTGTGGAGGAGGAGG